AATTTCCAAATTAAAAAAAAAATTATATCTCAGTGAATTTAAATCCAATTTTAATGTTATTTGTGTATACATGAAAAAACTGGTAAAATCATTGGCCACAAAAAACCAAGATCAACAATGGCTGGGCCTGTTCCCAGACTTTTTTTTTTTAAATAGAAATTTTAAGTAATATTAAGTAACAATAAAAAAAAATTCTACCAGAGAACTGTTTTTTTAAGATTAACTATTTGTTTGGCAAAGTTACATATTCATGTTTAATAATATATATTTATAGTATAAATAATCAAATTCAAGTGTCTTTATAAAAAATGATTCTTAAATCTTTTTTAGAGTGTAGTTTAGACATTAATAATCTATGAACCATCCTGGCCCTAACAAATCCATCTCTTCTCTCAAATCCACAACCAGATGCATCTATCACCTCTTTTACCGCTCTTTCACAAGACTATGTGTGTAGGGTAAAATAAGGTGCTTCAAAAGGTGTCTCTAAAAAATTGTCAAAATCTTTTGTAGATATTTGACAAGTAAATACAGGTTCTGATTTATCTTCTTTGTCCGAGTAGATCAGTTCTTGTATGGATATAGCACCCAGATTGAGTTGGACCTTCATCCTTGGCCTGAATCAAGTGTCTACATATTCCGAAACTTTCTGTACCTCTTTGATGGCTTTAATGGCAAACCTTGGGTCCATCTTACCTGAAGTCAAACATGTAATCAGTTTATGGCAGAGAGATGAATCTGTTGATATTGAACTTAGAATTTTTTTAGGGATCTGGATTAATGGTTCAAACTACACAATAGCTTCAAATGTATCAAGTCTTTCCATACTATTCACTGGTCGAGTGAAACCAACCTTTGAATCGGTGGGTCCATCCAGAGTGACAATAATGTGCCTCAAAGTAAACTCATTGCAATGTAGCATACAAATACACCAGAAACACTTTCTACCCAACAATTGTTCAGGATTTGTCAACAAACTCCAACTTTCCCTGTTACAGCATTGTTGAGTTTTATGTACTCCCCAGGAAACCATCCAATTAAATAGTCCAATAGCTGCTTGTTTAACAGGCTTATTGAGAGGCATTGCCTTCACGGGTATAAAATGTGTAATTTAGTGACTGTCAGGTTCAGAAGTAACACTAATATGTTCTTATTTCACCTTTAATGAAATTCTTTGTTACAGAGTTGTACTTTAAGATTCTGGTAAAACCTTTTCTGCCATCAGCAAATATACCTTTGATAGGTTGTAATTGAATCTTTATTTCTTAATATTTTCAGCTTCCTTATTTCTAAAGAAACCTGTCTAGCTTTTTCCTTATTATCTTTACAAGTCATTTGATATTTTGATAGTGACCCAGTTTTTTCTCTTTCAGCTTTTAACCAAATAAGTCCACTTATTGGAATCTTTTTTTTCCTCGGACAGGTTCACTGAATACGTGCAAAATCTAGACAACTATTTAATTTTGAACAATTTCATTACATAAAGTGATTTTACATTTACAAGATGTAATGCCAAGCAGTTGATCTAATTTTATTTTCCATTTAGAAACAATTTTCTGGGCTGCTTTTCCCCTAGAAATATCACTAAAATTATTTCAGGCTAATTCTATTTTCTGTACCAAAGATATCTTGTTTAAAACCACAGGAAACTTGAAAAGAGCATTCAATCATGTCCACTGTTGAAGAACCAAATCTGCTAATTGTACACTAAAATCTCTTAAAGAAATCAACCTCCTTAAAAATAAAACAAATAATAAAAAGGTTTGACTTAGTGATTATAAACAATATTTCTGCAATCTTTAAACAAATATCTTTTTCAAATAGCAAATATTCTTGTATTAAAAGACCCTTCCTCCTCAGGATATCTCTAATAGTAGGCACTTTTTTTATCCAAATTGAATCTAGTGATTTTAAAACTCATTCTTCTTGTTAATATTAAATAAAAACTAGTAATTAACTGGAAATCGACCAATTGTACTTTTTTACTGCGTATTTATGTATGAGGTATGTGAATGAACCGTACAGAAGTAATTTCTTTAAGTTTTATTGATTGCTAGTATGAATAAATGAAAACATATGATTAAATACAAAAATATTTCAGAATGTGATGTATTGTATTCTTTCTAGAGTATATTCAAAAGAGTACATTAGTACAGAAGTGTGAATTATGTACATTGTATGCAAAGTATACTTTTGTACTAATGTATTAAACATAGACAATAATGTACACTTTTGTACAATGCAATAAATGTAGAAAATAACAATTTAAAAATAACCTACAACTTTTCAGAACATTGCATTTCTAAATATACAGGGCCAACAACCCAATTTTTCAAGTAGGAGGGGGGGGGGTACAATCATCAACTACAAACAAAGGTCCTCCACTTCTAAAAACTTCAAAACCTTTATTTTAAAAAAAAATGTGTGTATAAGGGGGAGGGGGGGAAAGGCACGTGACCCCTGATCCTCTGGCATCATCAGCCCTGATATAATCTTAATTTTTGAATGGCAATCATTTTACCATTTTTTAACTATTTGTTAGACACAAATAACATCAAAATTGAACTCAACTTACTGAGATTTGACCTTTTTAAATTTGTGAATTTTTACGATGACATCCTCCTAAAAAAAACGAGTTCCCTGGTAGGTAAAAAAACTCTTTTTTAAATTTTATTTTTGAATTTTTATTTATTATAAATATTGGCACTATAACATTGATGCTAGAAGTTTCTTTGCTCATTTTTGTTTTAAATGGCGTACCCTAATATATATATATATATATATATATATATATATATATATATATATATATATATATATATATATATATACATATATATATATATATATATATATATATATATATATATATATATATATATATATATATATATATATATATATATATATATATTAACACTTTTCACTTATATGTTAACACTTTTAATATATATTAACACTTTTCATTTTTTAACAAATTTGGTTGAAGAATATGAATATAAAATGCAAAAACTAAATCTATAAATAAAAAATAAAAATATAAAAACGAACAAATCATATTAGTGTCAAATTCACCAATTCATTATTTCCTTTATATCGCTGCATTTGTCTCTCAAAATTTGAAATTTCTTAATATTTTTATTTCTTAAAAAATTTATTGATCAAAAACTGATAATTAAAAAAATGAAATCACACTAACCTTAGCATGGTAAGGTAATTTTTTTGTTCTTGCATGATTTTAACCTGTAACTTTACTATTGAAGACTCAATGCATGCACACTCTGCTATGCTAAACCATACATTCTTTAAATCTTCATCAGCTGTTTCAGCACATGAGCATAATGAATAGAACTGAGCTTGATGAAAATCATTTTTTTCTTCATTTTTAGAAACATTACAATGTATTAGAATCAAATCTGAGCTGCTTTCCATTTGAACTATTTTATTGCGCATTCTGGAACATTAAAGGTATGAAATAAATACTATAACAAATTAATATGTTTATATATATAAATTTGTATATACATGTATATACATATATATATATTAGGGTGTTTCATATTTTATCAATTTTTGAAATCAAACTCGCGAATCGATTTATAAATTGACCATTTGTATGAAAATAAGTTTGAGCAAAAAAAAAAATAAAAAAATTTAAATTTTAGGGTCCCCGCCAGTTCGATTTTGGGCCAAAAATGATAAGTGTTTTCAACGCCTAGCGGGGACCTTGAAATTTATCGAAAATTTTTTTTTATTCTTTTAAATGTTATATGTTGGATTGAATATTAATCACATAAATGGAGCATGTTGAAAAAATTAAGAAATTAGTCTACAGAATCTTCTGAAATTGGTGAAAAATCCAAATTTTCCTTCTTAAAAATCTATTTTATCACTCAATCGCGCATAAAAAACATTTTTGATTTTCTAATAAACTGTTTCCAGACGCGGAAAAATCAATAACCTAGATTTTTTTAATAATAGTGTCAAATGAGGTATATATAGGTCTAAAAAAAAAATTCTTTTATCCTTCGAGGTAACCTAACCCTTACGCTAACCTTAATAGCCTAATAACAATTGTTTATTTTAGTTATTTTTATAATAAAAAAGACTTAATGAACTTACTGCAACATGGTTAAAAGTGGTATTGTTGTTATTAGTTTTATTGCCTCAAGATTAGAAAGTATATGGTAGCTATTCAACTTTAAAGGATTTTCTTGGTATTGTTGCAAAGTTTTTTTTGGTTTTGTAAAAAATCAAAAAAAAAAAAAGAATGATATGTTTAAGTATAATTAAATACAAAATACATATTTACAAATCAATATTACATTATTAAATAAAAGCCATCATTTAAAAACTATATTATCTATTTTGCAATTGCTTGATATGTTAATTGCAAATCTTCTTTAGTCTTTGCCTTGTTAAGGTTTTCTCTCCTTTGGTGAATAACTAGCAGTAACTCCTGTCGATCGTTTTCATTGTGAACGTTATTTACAAAGTCTGATACAACTTTAATAGATCTTTCAGAAAAGTCGTTAACCACTGCAAGGTTGGAAACAAACTGGGAAAAAATCTTAAACTGTTCAATATACTCCCATAGTGGTGCCGGGCTGTTTAACCAAAGTTTATCATTTAGCTTAGTAAGGTTTAACAAACTAAATATGAACCAAGAGTTTTCTCCCACTAGTTAGGCAATACTTGGTGGTTTTTCTAGGTTAAAGTTAAGAGTTTTTAACAAATTTAATTTCTCGGAATGCCGAAAAAATTCAGGAACTGGTTTTGAAAAGAGCATTTTTGCAACATCTTCTCTCTCTGCAACAGAAATACCTTGGTCTAGAAGAGCCAGCGGAATTAAAGTTTCATCAAGGTACCATAAATGTGATTCCATTGAAAACATTGTGGCATCAATTCCATTTAAAATTGTTTCAGAATTCTGAACATATTGTTCTACGTAACCTCTATATTTTGTCATTTGCCAATAGGCTTTTATATCTTGGTAAGGCGCAGCGTAAGGTAAAAAGGTTTTTAAAAACCAGATGGTTTAAAAGATTGAGATAAACTCAGCCGTAGACTGCACTTCGTTCTCTTGATTATGTGTCAATTCATAAGAAAGTTGCAAACTTAATATCTGAATCTTGAGATAATAAATAGCTTTGGACATAAAACGTGCATGAGACACGCACCCTGGAGCTTGAATTTGAAAATCTCTTTCAGGGCATAAGTACATTAGAGTCAGTTTCAATAACTCCTTATAGTCTCCTCTGGGAAAAGTGTTTTTTTTTTAGAGCAATCTTGCAATATTTTACAGCATTGAGTCTATGGATTTCTAAGAAAGTGGTAGCAATAGATTGGGTATAATATTTTACAAACTTTGAAGAGTCAATGCTACTTTTAATGTCATTCCAGTTTAATTGGAACCGTTTAAACATTAGGTTTTCTGGAGATTTAGTTTTTCCACTGCACTGTCTTTCACAGAAGTGTTTTAGATGTAACTCATAAACATGCCTCCTGCAAGCCAGCTCTAGTAGAATTGAGTTTTGTTTATGACTAAACCTGACATTTGTACCAGAAAGTCTTCCTGTATTTGTAGCAGTTGTATCAAAACATAAACCTTTCACGTCATTACATATTCCATACTCATCCAGTATTTTAACTAAAGCATCGTATTGAGCTTGTCCAGTACCACGATCAATTGCTGGAATGCCAAGGAGCTTCATTTTACCATCAATATTTACCGAGACCGCAAATCGATCTCTTTTTGATTTTATACCTTCTGTGATGTCTTTGATAATTTTTCCATCAAAATGTGCTATTATGGGAAAAGTAGCTTTAGCGGTAGCAATTTTTACATTTTTCTTATATTGTTCAGCATTTTCCCGAATAGATTTTTTTTGAGCTCGCCAAATAGTTGAATGAGACACTGAAAAATCAGCCACATTTCCGCCTGAACATATGATTAAATCCGTACATACATGCACTAGATCTCTTGATGAAATATTTTTTGAGACTGATGTCATGGCAATATCTTTAACAAAACCTTTCCTTAACTCTTGTTTTGCGTTACTTGGGCCAAGTTGCGATAAATCAAAAGAAATATCTGATTCTGTACTCACGTCACTGATATCTGAGAAAAGCTCTAGATCTGTAGTTGATTCGTCTATTTGGGGTAACTGTTTAATATTACAACTTTTTAAAGGCTTCTTATCTTTATTTACCGTTTTATATTTCATGTCTTTGCTCCCCAAAGTCATTAGACGACTGGACTTTTGGTCTTTTAAAAATTTGATATCAACATAGTATGAAAGTTTATCAAGGCTCGTTTTTTTTAAGATTTCCTTAATATTATCTTTACCAATCCAAAATACCTGCTCCCCCTTCTTTTTGAATTCTTCCCTAGATTTCTCTGCTGCTTTAGAGTCCTTATTCTTACTTTTCTTTAATGTCTCCGAACTATCAATTAAACGAGTAATATTATTCCTGAAAAAATTACGATAATACATTAAATAAAATGGAAATATCAACTTTAAGATGCACCTTATATTTTGTATTATTAAGCTATAATCCACACGTAATAACAACTAAAAAAAAATTAGTTGTAGTGGTACTACAAAAAAACCTTAATCATCTACTAGCTTATTAAGTTCAAATGATTATACAAATTTATAATAACTATTTTATTATAAATTGAAATTATAAAACTTACCTTATAGATTTATCCGTTAATAATCCATCTTTATAACATCCGTCTAGCCATGGTTTTTTTACTGCAAAAAAAATACAGTTGTCAGGGCAATTGTCAAGTCCGGAGCACTTTGCGAATTTATCGGGCCCATCAGTACAACCAATAAACTTTTTGGATGGAGTTAACTTGTTACTAGATCTTTTAAACTGAAAGTTAAGAACTAATTCTTTATTTGTTGCAAAAGTTATCTGAGTTAAGTTTTCTACCAGGCTTTCTTCTTCAAATAAATAAGCTCTAGCTTTTAGTCTCATAATTTTAGCCATTTTGAATATTATTTAAAAAAATATTAGAGCACTTATTATTAGTAACGCAAATTTAGTTTAAATACTTTGTCTTCGCATTGGAAAATAGTTGTTAAATTTTAAATTATTATTTAAGTACCTTGGTATATACATTTTCTAAAAATATTTTCCAATCAAATTTCCAGATTTTAAATTTATTGCCCTCTAATGTTTATTAAGTAGTAGCCATTAAGGTTAGTGTCCGGGGCATGTTACTCCATGGATCCAATTATTATTTTTTTTTAGACTTAATTTAACACTAATAAAAAAACTATTCAAATTATAGTTTTTTCCGTGTTTGGAAACAGTTTATTAGGAAAAAAAAAAGTTTTTTATACGTCACCGAGTAATAAAATAGGTTTTTGTGAAAGAAAATTTGGATTTTTCACCAATTTCAAAATATTCTGTAGACTAATTTCTTAATTTTTTCGACATGCTCCTTTTATGTGATAAACCTTTAATCCAACATATAACATTTAAAAAAAAAAAAAGGTCCCCGCCAGGCGTTTAAAACACCCGACAATTTTGGCCCAAAATAGAACTGGGGAGACCCTAAAAAATAATTTTTTTTTTTTTTTTGCTCAAACTTCTTTTTATACAAATAGTCAATTTATAAATCGATTCGCGAGTTCGATTTCAAAAATTGATAAAATATGAAACACCCTAATATATATATATATATATATATATATATATATATATATATATATATATATATATATCCCTTATCGAAACCGGGTACCTGGTAATTCGACTGATTTATCATGTACCCAGATTTTGTTGCAATACCTGGTACCAGGTATCTTGAAGGAAATTTTTAATAAACATTAAAACCTTATGTGCTGTAACTATTTGTTTAAGTGGTATTTTAAATTGTTACAAAATATTATTAACAGGATTGCTTTTAGTTTAAACTTCAACCAATAAACGTCTTGATATAAGTCTAAGAGTGTTATGGAGACAATATCCACCAAGTTCTATTCACTCAATATAGATGTGAATTTAAGATATGTTTTTACAAAATAATTAGAACATATTGCAAAAAGGAAACTGATTTATACAGATATTTGAATAGCTTGTTTTTATTGTGAGAGAATTTTTTTACAAGATAATTTTTTGAAGTTAAAAGAGTTAATTTAAGTTTTAAACCTCTTAATGATTTTGCATTAACAAAGCCAGACGACATGTTGTTTCAAATATTAACAACCCTGAGAGAGAAAGAATATTTGCAGCCATCGAGTTTACATTTGAATTTGTGACCGTGAGTGTAAATACAGTTGTTTATTAAAAAGAAACTTGATATATTTAAGCAACCTTAATTAGTGCATATTAACCAGCATTATTTTGTGAAAAAAATTCAGCACTAAATATTTCATAAGCTTTTATTCCAACTTTTTAAAATGAACCCAGCGCCAGGTACCTGGGCTCAGACCC